AAGATCAACCACAAAGGGAAACTGACAAGGTACATATATTGCAAAGTGATATTTAGGCCTACCGGCACATCATTGAACAAAGAAATTGACTGGAGTTGGGTTTGAACCTGTGACCTCTGGACTACCCTTCTGGTGCCCTTCCAACTGAGCTATCCAGCCAAGTATGTTGGCTGTTCCACATTTTGCCTTTGTTCAAGGGCACTAGTCAGAAGCCATACTGATAAACTGAATGAAAGAAAATATTTATAAATGTACAGCACTTGTATGAATGTTCAAAATTCTCTCATGTAGTTAAAAATATTGTAATACACTACACTAGTTTCAGACGGGGTTTAATTAGTTGCAAGGAACCAAAATGTTCTGAACAATTGCAATTTAAGCAAATCTTTTCGTGTACTCAATCTAATCTTCAGAATAATAATTTCAGACTATGGAATGCCATGCAGTCTGAAATTGGTGCTACACTAATGAACAATGGATTTTTGAGGGAAAAAAATTGATACTGTAGTAATATAATTTGTGAAAAAAAAACAGATTAAAATAACTAACTAAAAAAAAGTATGTTTGATTAAAAAAGAGCAGCAAATTTTTATTCAAAAATATCTCAGATGTATGTAAAAATAAAACATGTGCCGTGGTTTATCTGCGTTTTCTAAAATATTTCTTATGTATGTATGTAGTTAAAAAAAACAATGCAGACGACACGGCAATCAATAACAGGCAATGAATTTCAATGAAGTCCGAGATATAAATAGTGTTTGGCTCTCCCGGTGAATACCAACAGCGCAGATATTAATCACAAACTGGCGTACATGTATGTACCGTACGTCCTCCGCTTGACGTCACTATTTCTCCATCTTGTTTACCCTGCAGACTGCGATTCCTAATGTCAATTCAATCCCGTGTTTTTGGAAAAGTATTGTCAACCCGCCCCTCCGTTCTTGAATCCAAACCGTTCTAATGGCCAACAATGCGCACGAGATCGAATTGCTGGTGCTTTTGTCGCGCTTCCCGATATAGAGCCATATAATGATATGATACGGGAGAATGGCTGGTGTATCAGGTTGAGGCCGTTCCAACAACCGTACATGAAACCTTACCCCCCTGCTAACAAAGGCACAAGCTGCAATGTAAGCACCTTGCTCTATCCGTCCAGAACTGTTACAAAAAAATAGAGAGCCTGCTTCACAATGCTGATATGTGAGACTTCCCGAGCACTGAATGGCCTCTGACAGGGAATACATCAATTGAGAGGATTGGATGTTGCCAGTTACTGGCACAATCTTAGCAAAAGTGCACACGTTCGTGCACGTGCATTATTTTTTGCTACAATAAGTTTCACGTCCTATTGACATACATGTACGGTACAATGTGTAGATGGATGAATGTCTAAATTGGTCAGCAAATATCTTGTATTGTAACACATAACATCTTATGAGGTATACGGCTTTTAAATTAAATGCGATTGAATACATGTGTACAAATTTTTTCAGTGTATGATTGAGTATAAACTGGTCATTAAAAAAAAATTTAAATCTAGTTATAAACAATAACGTACCAGCCAGTTTTTGATGATTGTTGTTTTGTTTACATGTAACTTCACTTTACCAAAACTCGTTTTAAAGAATCCATGTATGTACTAACCGGTATTATCAACTTACGCCATTTCTGCATAATGTACACTATTGGCATTAATTATTAATGGACAGATTTCGTCTCTGAAATCAGAAATAATTTGTTTTGATAATTTGATACATGCAGATCAATGTACACAGCTATGTACATGTACATGTAGGTGCATGTACCGGTACAATGTACATTTATCATTTACAAATCAATAATGTAGACTATGCGTAAACTTTTACAATACATGTACTTAAGATCACTCACTGATATTCACAAAATCTTGGATATATATTTCCTAAATTTATTAACCAAATAGATGAACCATGGTTAAAGGGAATATACATCATTTGCTTTTGCTGTAATTTTCAGAAATGGATGGAATTGGGGGGTTTGAAATATAAAGCAAATATAGTTACACTAACTTTTTTGAGGTTTTGGGTTCGAAAATGCTATAAAAACCAAGAAAAACGATCATTTTCCTGTAGTCTGGTTCCCTGACTCCATATAAGAAGAAACAGAGCAGTTTATATACATTTGGGAATTGTAAGGTCAGGGAACCAGTCTAGCTGGCTCGTACCCGTTCATAGGTTTGTAATCGATTGCAAACAAGTGCAATGGTCAATTGGGGCCAGTATTTGAAAAAAAAGCCAGTTGTTTCCAACGCTGATCGGCCGATCAGCGTTGGAAATTGATACAAAAATACCACTTTTCTTGAAAATGACAGTATACCAGGTGCCATAATTTTACAGGATGCTTTAGACTGTCATTTACCAACATCCTATTAAGGTATTTCGCAAAAACTTGGTAGTTTTATTTTTCGATGTTTGCATATGTTGTATATTCCCTTTAAGTTATGGTCCCTCCGGTGTCATGTTTTCCAATGGACTGATGATTCAGAATAGTTAATTTGGCAAGGCTGTGTACATTTGTCCCTGGCTAGGGGAACACCTTACATGTACAATGTATCTATTGATTCCCCTAGTGGCATGAATGCAGTAAATTAAGCATGGGATTCAATCAGCCAAGACTTGCAGTCTATTGATTGTATTTACTCAGTGCAATCGTGGCAGGATACCGGTGTGGTGTACTTTGTTTAAAAAAAAAAAATATGGACGAACAAGGGAAATCAGGCAAATTTACTACAATTTTTAGCTGAAAAAAAGAAGAAAGAGACAGTGATTTAAATTAAACGGTATCAAGCTTAAACCATTTGTGTCAAATTGTATATTACAGCGTTCATGCTCCGGTATTCGATACATGTATACATGGTACAAATGATCTAAATGTGTGCAATACATGCATGCATCTGTGTACATGCACTCTTAAATGAATCATAATGTCTATGACTTTGTCAAAAAAAAATTCTTGTGCATGATTGCCAACCCGTGTTACAGTTTGAAACAGTATGCGTTTCACAAATCTACAGCAAAGTTCAATTTTATCAAAACGAAAGTTAATGTACATTGTTAGTTTGAAAAACAAGTGTACCGGTACGGTACTTGACAAATCTGTAGCAACAATCAAAACCGAAACTGTTGTCAAGTGTGCCTGGGCACAACATGTGTGCAACGAGTGTGCAACATGATAAACAGCCCCGAGAGAGATGAAAGCTTGTCCTTGAAAGTGAAACAGTTTGCTAATGGAGTACTAAATAAATGTACAGTGTACATGTACATGAACTTGATACATTTTGTACAGTGAGGAGAATAGCCGATAGTGTACCTACATGTATGTGAATGCCTGAACAACATTCATGCCTTCATGTTCCTGTATACATTTGTATGCACATTGTCTGGACATCATATTATTATTTAATGCTGTTATACCGGTAGGCCCTACATTTAATAACGTCTACACATGATTCTGATATTATCTCTTGCATTACCGGTATTTTAACATAAGATTCAAAAACATGTTTTCAGTAATTTTAAACTTATTTGCAATTTAATGGACACAAAACAGACATCTGCTTTAGGAAAAATTATACATGGCCTTGACTTCTCATGCACATGTTTAAGTACAATATGTATTTTTCACTAAAAATCAAGGTAGAATGGACCATTTGACATTTGTGAATTTTTTTCACTTGAAGCAACAAAAGTGCTCAGAAACTAAAGACAGATGCTTAACAACTGACCTAATGAAATTTTTAGCTCTCTGAATGCTGTATATTTTGAGAAAACACGATATTCTGGATCTCGATTTCAGTTCAAAAGGTTGTCATGTCATATTTTGAATTGTGCCCTCTTGTGGCACAATCCCGAATTCAGCATTTGGGACATGATTCGCATTCAGCTGATTGTACCGTAGCTCTACAAGATGTCACACACTGAACGCGTTGTCTCAACACTGAACGCGTTGTGGCTTGCACCCATTCACAGGTTCGCCCAATTACAAACCAACAACAAACCAAAATGTGTCACTTGACACATCTTTGGAAATGGCATTCTTTTATTGTTTTTTCATAATGACAGCATGCCAGAAGGAATAATTTCACAGGGAGTGCATGTCATTACTATCCTTAAACCAAGTAAGCTTTTTAACAATAATTTGGTCGGTTGCTTTTTGGATAGCTGCAAATGGTCCACTCTACATGTACCTTTAAACCTGAAAATAAACTTTTACTCAATGTATTTTGTAGACATCTACTCTGACTCACTCACAATTTACGATAATATACATGTACAGCCACACTTCAGTTAAGGGCGATGTAAAATCCACGCACACCCCTTCCCCACCAGGAAATTTCCAGAATTTCTTAGCTGCAGGTCACCACCCACGAGGTTTAGCCTGTGTGTGGGTTTTTCCTTGAATTAAGAAACCAAATACATTACATTGTAAGCAAATGACTGTGAGACATACATGTACATGTACATGTATTTAAGTAACCGCAAGTCAAGAAGTTGCAAAAAATGTACACATAACCATATTCAAGGATATGTCTTTGAGGCACCACAAAATGTGCATTTGTGTCAACTTCTCCAAAAAGCCCTATTTACAGACACAGTTTGTGTTTGTGACACTTTACCTACGTATACATGTAGGTAAATTCTATAAGTACACCAGTACAACCAAATGCTGTGATTTGACAAATAACTTGATACTCGGCACAGCAGGCACACAAGCCTCCGAGCACTGCGCACTCCTGCACTCCGCACAGCCAGCCCATGTGAAATATGAAACCACCCTAATACATGGTCATGCCCGCAATAATATCTAATATGGATGACGCATGCATGAACACACATGACTTCAATGTTGCGCACTATCAACTTCCAGCCGAATAACTATGCTTTGATGTTCATACGTGCCTGGCTATTTCACACAGAGATTTACAGACTGAGTGCTAAAGTACAGCGTTCTTAACATCTTACCAAGGGTTGTGGTGACCGGCCCGGTTCAGATAGGATCCCTTTAAGAGGAGACAATGGATGCAAACAGGATGGACGTCTTCTCAGGGTGAAATCAAATCACCTGCACAAACAAGCAGCTCAGTGGCCGATCATCATTCACTCAGTCAGCCCGACTCAACCAACGCAGCGTGTCATCACACACACACAGCAGATTGCATGATGGTTGGCTGGCTACAACCCTGAAATGCTAACAAGCTAGGCTGGTCACCACTCCCCAGGCTGGGATGCATGAGGGCAGCATTGCAGTATTAGACACAAAATATAATAAGCTGATCACATGCACCAAATAACATGTGCACATGTAAACACTACATCTTGGCTACAAAATGAGTACATGTTCACAACCGCATTTATGCATGCCTGCACTTTCATGTACCAGTAATAAAAATAAAATCTACATTTTTTTGTGTAAAGGTACAATGTACAACATTTAGTTTTGTGAAATGTTCAAATTCAAGTTGCAAAGTGGGGATTTCTTTAAAAACTAGTTTGTTTTGTTCTGAAAGCCAGCTGGAAAAGTTTAATTCATTTTGAAGGAGAGATTTATCTGTATTTTATGTGAAACAGAGAGAAGTGTATACCGGTACGTATACATGTAACAGACATAGGCCTATAATAATAATAATATTTTAATGGGTTCAACTCATGAGTTTATCAATACTGGACATTAAAGATGTGGTACATGTCTGCAAGATTTTACAGGAATACAGTGCATCTAAAAACCATACAGGATGTAGGGCCTATACTGTTGGCATTTAGTTTGTGATTAGGCCTAGATCCAGTAAACATGGACAAGGGCAATGGATGGGTTCTGTAAAATTGTAAAAGAAAAGGAAGCAATAACAATTTACAACTAATTTGAAATGTAGCGAATTGATGACTATGTACCGTCAGCACGTACGGCACGCTGAATCGCAAGGCACAAACCGCGCAGGAAAATCGTGATTTCTACCCCAAGAATCTGTTCAAAATTGCAAGACGGGTGTCATTAGAATTGAGAAAAGTCTGCTTTTGATTGTAAAGGTGATTTTTGAGCGATAACATTTTTTTTGACTCTAAACAAAACAAAACAGGGGCCCTGCACTTCACGATCACCCAAGCGGCAAAGGCCATCATAATAAACACACATATAACCTTGGCTGGCCCTGGGGACAAGGGTGCCCCTTTTGGTCGATGGCGTTGTGGGTTGTTTTTGCGACCATAACCACAAACATGTTTGAATGAACCACCACTGTCGTTCATGCAGAACCACACAGCTGCGTGGCGCTAGATGATCTTGACGCAGAACCGAAGCCGCCAAAATGCTTTTTGGAATATTTATTTTTAGAACAATTTAGCATGAGGTGTGTGATTGCGATTGTCCGGCGTGTGAGCGTGTAAATTGACTCTGAGGCGTGTGAGACACGCCATGAGACGTGACGCTAGTAGGTCTGTGATAATAAAATGGGGAAAAAAATAAACAAACAAACAAAATAAACAAAATTACCTCAACAATTTTAGCTGCGTTTTTCATGCAAATAAAATTGCGTAAATTCTCACACAGGAGTTTGTGACTGCAAATAGTCTGTATTTGGTACCTAAAAGTGAACGTAAGCTGGCGAGACTTGCATGCTGTATTTTACAAACAAGACAATGCAAGCTCAGTAAAAGCTGCACTGTGCCAGCTGCAGAGCGCATAAAATTCAAGTTTCAATTGATTCAGAATGGCTATTATTCACTCAAAGTCTTTCCATGCATGCGGTCTACATAATGGCCCGGAGTTGCAATGTAGCTCTTTCACTGGTATTAAGAGTTAATCCTATAATAGGATAGCACTGCATGGCTCACAAGTGACACTCAGCGAGTCGGTCAGTTGGATACATACATACAAAGATGACACTACAGTGTACACGCATACTGTACACATGTAGGCAATATTAGGATCAGGCCCTCTGGGACCAGCAAAAAGGGGGGGGGGGGAAATCTGCAGACTAGAAACCCCCCAAAAATGGTTTTGCGTCTGGTTACCCAACCTACATTTTTACCCTACCCTGATTTTTTGGGGGGAAAAATGAGTAAAACCCCCCGAAAACCATCAATTACTACCTTTTACCCTTGACTACCGGTACACTCAGACAATATGATCATACACACAAAAACCCAAATTCCCTACCTACCCTATTTTCAAACGCCATGTAATCGGAAGCAGAATTTTTTTCTTTTTGGCCCTAGGCCTGGGCAAGGCTGTAGTGGATTTCTCTAATTGAGTACTCGCAAAGAAGTTACTCACGAGTAGTCGAGTGCCGGTACCTGCGAGTACTTCACCAAATTCCCATAAAAGCAGAAAAATAACGTTAGTATGCAGGAAAATACATATGTACCGGTAACTACAAGCAAATAGCGTGCAAGCCACATCACATTCTTCAGCACTATACATCCTTACTGTGCGACGTTTTGAGTCATTTATTTGAAAAAAAAATTTGTGACGAATGGAATCCTAGGGAGAGAGAGGTGAAGGGAGTGATTCCCTGTTTGCAGGGGATGTATCAAGCCGTGAACCCTAAACCGCTACTTGTGAGTACCTGCGCCAGGATGGGTACTCAAGTAGAAAAAACCACGAGTAGTGTTACGAGTAGCAAACTACTGACGATGGACAGAGCATACTGTTCAAAACGTTGAGTCCCTCCGGTTCTTTTCAGAACCACACATACTCACAAAAGAGATTTATACACATGGTGCTACTGCAAACTTATCTTGTCTTAGTACCAGAGTAATCGAGTTACTCGCCTGGTACTGCAGACTAAACTGAATCTATTCCCAGCTGAATTATAACAATCACAACAGGATAAATGTGGGTTTAACACACCGATGATAATTCCCCCAAGCCCAATGGACCATTTCCTGTATTTGTTTTCCCCTTTCCTCTTGGCACCTCAACGCACCAATCACTTCCTTTAAATACAGTACTCAGGCAGCTTCAAGGTCCACAGTAGATACAAAACAAATTCCCCCCAAAATTCCCCCCATTATTGGATTTACAATTTAAAACTTTTTAAATGAATGCGGAGTGATGTTTATAATATCTTTTATCATATTAAAGGGACACAGATGATGGAGTCAGTAAGTCATCAAGTCGGGGAGTCAGTCGGGGAGTCAGTCAGTCAGTCAGTCAGCGAGATAGGTACAAACAGGACATTAGGCTGGCCCTCTGAGTCAAGCAAGCTTAGTTTCACAAGCTCCGCTAGGGGAAAAAATGGCAGTAACAACGCATTTTTTGAAATTTTCTCTAAGTTGCACAACTTACAATGTAGGTCCTACATTATAACTTAAGCTCTTTTGAAGTCATTCACCACTGAAATTTGAAAGCAACAAAATGCAAGCACATCAGAAGATGAATCATCTGCCATCATTTTGTTTCCCTTTTTTTTCATCTCCTAAAGACGTCACTAAAGGCTGCAATAAGATTAAAAGTGACATTTTGTATGAATTGGGAATCAGGAAAATGATTGTCCCTGTGGGGGGAAAAAAGTAGGCAGGCTGATAAATGACCAAGGATGGACAGCGGACAAGAGGAAAGGCGAAGGAAATTTACTGCTTCCCAGAGGCATTTCTGCCGCATGACTCCAAAACACTTTGCATTAAACCACATGTAATCAGCTGCGTAATAAATAAATGTTGCTTTCTTTTAAATGTATACAGTATGTCAAATTTTGCAAATGTTTACAGAAGTCTTGGGCTCATTTTTAACTGACCAATATTCAAACTGATTTCAACTTCAACAGTAGGATGGATTTGTTGTATCCACTTTTTATGTAGAGTGTACCGTAAAGAACATTCATGACCAATAGAGTAGATCATTTGCACTGTTTGCAGCTATCCAAAAACTTGAAAAAGTAACTGACAAAATTATTGATAGTACAAATGTACATTATTGATTTTTTTGTGATTATTGGTCGCTTAAAGATAGAATGGCAATAAAATCCCTGTGAAATTAGTCTTTCTGGCATGCTGTCATTTTGACGAAAACAATTAAAGAAGGCCATTTCCAAAAATTTGACAAATCCATGCATGGATGCGCGTGAGCGTTGGCACGATGCACACGCGCGCGTGGTTGTTATTATTCATCGGTTCAGTGCGTGACACCGCGTAGCTGCAATCGGCTGAATGAGAACGTGTCCCGGATGCTGATTTCGGGCGCAATTCGAAATTTGGGTTCACAATTTGAACAGAAAACTCCTAAAACTGAAGAGTGTAAATGACAATATAGCAACAGCGCCCTCAGTTGTCCAGAAAAACTATGAAAATTTTAAATGTTTAAAAGAAGTGGACTTTTCAATAAAATTAACCAAAAAGGGGTGTCAAATACCTGTAGGTTTCATACATTTAAGAGGAGTAGGAAGTTGCACAAAATATGTTCATAAGAAAAATTCATTTCATGAACCCTTTAAGAAGGCCCATGGATACATGTGTAGGAGACTTGTGAATTGATTCACTGCTGCAGGGGCTGGCAGCATAATTTACACCTAGTCTTGTGCTCTGTTGGATAGTGGACTCTGGTCCCATGCATAAATGAAGATGGATTGCACAGTTGATTGGTCTAGACAGGACATCCTTATTAACATGTTAAAGGTGCTGAAGTGATAAATGTGTGGAAAAACTATTATATTGTTCCCAATGAATTCAAGTAATTACGGTGCGCTGCAGGCTGGCCTGGAGCTATTTAAGTGTGGTTTGGGATGTGTCTTATTAACTGTAATTGTTTGACACCTTCCTGAAACTGGGTCACTTTGTGGCATAATCACTAGAATAACTTGATGTAAAGGTACATGTTTACATCCTTCCTTTAGATACATGGTACATGTTGCTAAATTAGATTGTTAAATTTTGTCGTCTTACACACAAAACTTTGCATATTTGCAATGTACCGGTACCTGTTATCATCATATATTACTTGATGGCGAATATCTCTATAAATGTTCAACGTATTTCATACAACTGACATATTAAGCTCTCAATTTGTTTATTTTTTTTGGTAAATAAATTAACACAAAAGCAAATAATCATTGTGTTTAGAGACATGCTGGAAAATAGAGCCTGAAAGTGAGCCATTTTGTCTGCGGGCTTCCTGACCCCTCCATGACCCTTCTATGGGCATTTTACACAAGGTTCCCTTTCTCTTGCTATAATTTTTGACCGAATGACTTC